ATGTATTATACATTATTTGTTTTCTGTATAGATTCAATAAACAGTACGTACTTGTTTGACTACGGAAAAAAAAAAAATATATATTATTATTAATTTTAATAATAATTATCGACTATATAATCTATACTTAATATTAATTTTTTTTTTTCTAATTGATATAAGTATTCTAATTTAATATATGTATTACTTTCATATATTGAAATAATAAACAAACTATGTATAATTTTACAATATAAAAATGACTATCACCGATCGCACTAAATAACCGTTGAGTCATAGATTTTGTTACTGCGAAAATTTTCTTTAGAAATTACATTTATCTTGTAATTCATGTAATTCTCCAAAAATGTCATGCTCTCATTGTGGCGAAAACCGAATTGAATACGACTCCGCTGCTGGGCACGCGTTCTGTGCAAAGTGTGGTTATGTATGTAGCTTTCGCTTTATTATATAAAGAGAAATTGTGATAAATAACAGTCTTCTTTACTTGAAATGAAAGGTTGTGGAAGAAAGCAAAATCGTTGCAGAGGTTACTTTTGGTGAAAGCGCGTCGGGTGCAGCCATTTTACAAGGGTCATATATTGGAGCTGATCAAAGTAAGCGTAATATGTTACTTAAGAACGTGAATTCACGATTTTCCGTATTAAGCATCATAATTTACTTGTATAAACAGGGAGAGTTAGAACAGCAGGGCCATACCGAAGAAACTCAAGCTTAGATTCGAGAGAACAGACCATTGCTAATGGTAAATATTAAAATACTTTTATAATATTTTAAATGATTATCTAAAGTTGCCATTTAAAATTAAATTTTGCAATTAAAAAAAGGGAGACGGCAAATACAAGCTCTAGCTACTGCCCTACGACTTTCTGATCACCTGATGGAAGCAGCACAGAGATACTTTAACCTCGCAATAACAAATAATTTTATCCAAGGTCGAAAGACACAGCATGTCATCGCAGCTTGTCTCTATATTGTGTGTCGCACGGAGAAAACATGTCATATGTTAATTGACTTTTCCGACATTTTACAAGTAAGAGTAGACCAATTATACTAGCATATCGATTCCGACATTATGAACTGGTATCATTTAATTGCTAATCTCATTGCAACAATACTAATAATATTTTTACTAGAAACTGACAGATCATTCATCGTTTAATATTAGGTAAATGTTTTTACTCTCGGATCAACATTCTTAAAATTGGTAAATACACTTCATCTTGTGCTTCCATTGATAGACCCATCCATTTATATTTCGCGATTCGCCTCAATGTTGGAATTTGGAGAAGAAACTAGTCGTGTGGTTACAGATGCATCTAGACTATGTGCGCGGATGGGACGAGATTGGATGCAAACTGGTAGGCGACCTGCGGGGATTTGTGGGGCATGTAAGTATTGATGACAATTTTCAATCATTGATATTATATTTTTACATTTATTTATTCCATAATATTCACAGGTTTGTTAATTGCGGCAAGAATGAATAACTTTAGGAGGAGTGTGAAAGAAGTGATTGCCGTAGTAAAAACTGCGGACGTCACAATTAAAAGAAGGCATGAAGCTTGTTATATTTTAGTGTATAATATTTATAATGCCCATTAACCTTGAATTTATTGTATAGGATTGAAGAGTTCAAAGAAACACCCACAGCAAAACTTTCAGTGCAAGATTTTAGAGTTGTATGGCTTGAGCAGCAAAGCGATCCGCCTGCATTTACAAAAGCTCGGAAAGCAGAAAAAAATATGATTGGAAAACGAAATCAAATTACATCTATTTCTGATTCATTATCAAGAGAGAAGGGTGATGACGACAGTGAAACTCTGATTGATTCTTCTCATGGAGAAATAGTTGCTAAAAAAAGAAAGGGAAAGAACGATGACATTGATGGAGAAGAGTCAAATACCGAGAAAGAGAATGATGTGGAGATAATCGAAAACTTAAGCGAAAATCAAAGTGAACGTAATCCAGTTGAAGAGCAGATAGAAAAAGAATTAGAGGAAGAAATGAATTCCTATCTCAATGATCCAAATCTAAAAAAGATTAGTTCTGAAATGGCAGGTAAATGCTAAGAACTCATGTTTAATTATTATTGAACTTTCGGATTGTATTGGTATAGCCGTATTAACTGTTTTGTTCACGTAGAAGAATCCAATAAGAGGAGCTCAAATAAAGATCAATCAGAAAATGATAAGCTGGATAATGAAGAAATAGGTTCTGATTTTGACGATGATGAAATAAGCAATGTTATTTTGTCTGAGGAGGAAGTAAAAATAAAAACTCAGGTGTGGATGGATATGAATCGCGAGTATCTAAAAGAAGTTGAAGGTATAAATATCATTGTATAAACTCGCATGGACTTCACATTTGATACCTATATTTATGTACACGTACATTTATGAATAAATAGAGAAAAGGAAAAAACAAGAAATGGATCGAGCAAACGGAATAGGTGTTCGTAGAGTATGTAGCTTTCCTTCACTTTATTTTGTTTTTAGTAGGACTTATATTTATTTATTTATTTGCGTTCATAAAGCATAAGCGTCCTCGAAAAGGAAAATCTGATGAACATGCAGTGGCAAGCACTCCAGCAGAAGCTGCGAGAAGATTATTTGAAGAAAGAAATCTTTCAAAGAAGATCAACTTCAAAGTTTTGGATTCCTTGTTTGACAATATACCTGATAGCATACCTAATACCCCAACTTCTTGGAGAGATTATGACCCTACCAGTGTTAGTGGTTCAGGTATCGCGCGTAGTAGTACTCCTGCTAGTTCGAGGTGGGATGATGAGGAAAAAACTTATGAATGGGATAATCTACCGATTTTAAAACTGAAAAGCGCAGATGCAGTACACGGTACATCAGATTATGACGAATATGAGGATTACAACGCACAAGAGTCGTACGAATATGAAAACAATAATTATTATGCGGGGGAGGATTATTATGATTTCAATGAGTATGAATAGTCGAATATCAAGTCCTGCTTTTATAATTGTGACTGTGTTTATAGTCTTTAATTTTCGAGTAAATTCAATTGTAAAAAAAAAAAGAGCACTGACATCGTGATTTAGCCTGTACTTAGAAGGCAAGTATCGCGAAAATTAGTAAAAAATGCTGATTATATTAATAATATTATATAAATTAATAATATGCTAGAAATATTTTGATTGTATTATATTTACAAAAATGAATAATACTAAAAAAAATATTCAATTATATACAGTATCCTGGCATGGTGATGGTGATTTTCATAATTTAATGATATATAAAAAAAACGTTATTATTATTTTGAATTTTTAACATGAAAAATTTTCAAAAATGTCAAGAACTTTCTGATTTTGATTGTGATAAAATAATTGGTATAAATAAAGTTGATACAAAAAAAGCTCATATAACTAGTAAATCTTATAGTACTGTAACATGTAAAATTGATTTTTACAAAACTATAAGTTTCACAATATTAAAAAAAAAACTTGGACCTTCTCTTATTTTGAAAGATCAAGATTTTCATAGTAAAAAAAAATATATAAATATAACATTACAAGCCATTACTAATGAATTTAATTAAAAGTTATATAATTAAAGTTTTAAGTATACTATTAAATATTCTTTTTATAATTTGAAATTAAAAGCATGTATTGCAGTATTCAAGCTAGTATTATCAATATATACTGTATATATAACAATACAATTATTTTAAATTAAGAATTAAAAAAAAAAGCAATAGATTAAAAATATATTATTAATAAATCAAAACTTAATTTAATTAATAATAATTATTATATATTTGTTTGTTATTAATCAAAGAAAAAAAATTATTCTTTTAATGTATACAATCAAAAGTATAGTGTTTCAGGTCAGGGATTTATCAACAATAACAGTGAAATCCTAAACTTCATAACACTTCAATAGAAATATCTGTTATAACAGAAAGGGCTTAAAAACAGAAAGAAATGTAGATTTGATGAGTTTGTATGATTTGGAGAATTTTATTGATCAGAACAGTGCAATAAGTAGGTTGATTTTTAACTAGTAAACACTCTTTTTTTAACTAAATTTTTTCACTCCTCTCTTTTTTTACTATATTTTCTTATATCATTTTTATACTTTTCTTATAGCAAAAGAAAAGAAAATAAATAAAAGAACTAAAATAAATAAATAAAATAAAAAAAATAACAAAAATAAAAAAAATAACAAGGTTGAGGGTCAATTACCTATTTTGGCAACCTCTATAATATGCAATCATTGTTCTTTCAATTTCTAAACCATATTGTCAATCACTCTTTTCCTGTAACAATAGAATAACAATAATTAAGTTACTGTTCAAAAATATTTTTAATAAAATAAACTGAAAAAGATCAAAACACATATAGAAAAAAAATACAATGATTATATTAATAATTATTAATTAAAATTTATTTATAAATTTTATATAAATATTTTAACAAGATATTTTTATAATTAGTATTAACAAATTCAAATAACTTATACTATTTAACTTATATTTCAATATAATAATATACCTATATATTATAATTTATATAATAAGTAATAAAATAAATAAATAAATATAATACTATAAATTTACTTGTATAAAATCCATCTTATAATTTCATAAAAATATTTGAAACAAATTAAATTAACAAATATATAAATATAAATTTTCATTAAAAATTTTAAAAAAATTATAATATTTCAAAAAAAATATTAAATCTTATAGATAATATATTATAATTTATAAAAATAATATAATATTTGTTTTATTTTTTAATAATATTTAATATTTTTTTTTATAAATTATTATAAAAATCATATTTAAAGATTGTTTTAATAATTAATCTATAGAATTATAACTTAGTAATAAAGCTTTATAGATCATTAGATAAAGATCTAGGATTAAAATTTATTTAGTTACAAAAATTTATCATATATATTTTTTAATTAGATTGTATAAAGATAAAACTTTTGGTCTTTTTAGTAATTATAAAATTGTAACAAATTATAAAAAAAAGAAAAAAGTTATATAAAAAAAGATTTCAGATTCAATTTTAGTTAAATCTCATAAAATCATAATTATAGTTTTAAAAATTAAAATTAAACAGATTTGCATAGACTTGTATAAGGTTTAAAACGCTATTAAAAATAATAGTGAGTTATAACTCACATAATAATTTTAATATAAATCTAAGAATCAAGAATCTAATTAAATTGAATCATTAGAATCCTTAATCATAATATAATAAAATCAATGTTATATTTGGATATATAGATTAGATTATATTCTATTTTAAAATCCAATTGATATTTCTTTACTTATTAATTTTTCACTACTTATAAAGTAATATAACTAGTCATATAGTAAGACAAAATATATATAAGTTATATCTTGCTTAATATTTATATCTCTATATTTGATAGCTTATATTAACTAATTTGAATCTAAAGTATCAACTAGAAGTTTCAAAAGTATTGATTTGTTTATATTTATATATTATATAAATAAATAGATTAGATTCTTAAAAAATTATATCTTATTTAACTATAAAATCCTTAGATTTGATAGTTAATACCAATTAATAATTAAAACCAATATATTTATTAAAAAATATATACTTGTATCAAAGATTCTCTTTACTTATATAAGTTGATTAATATAGGTGGATTGTAATAAATAACTTATATATGAGTAATTAATAATATATACTCTATATAAAAAAAATTAAGTTCTATAAAACAAATAATTTAAAACTAGTAATAGAATTTTTATCTCTATAGTCTTTTGGTATTATAAGAAAAAGTTATTAAATGACAAATTTCTAAATATTAGATGTATAAAAAATTGATAGGTTAGTACAAAGAATATTTGATATAATATATAAAAATTATATATCAATAAAAGATTTATATCTAATACTATTCAATTTAAAAAAAAAAATTGTTTAATAATTATTTATTTTTATTTATTAATCAAAGATCTTCAAAAACTTAAAAACTTTTAATAAAAAAAGTTCTACTATAATTTTAACAAGAATTATTAAACAAATATTAAGCAAACTTTGAAAATATAATAGAAAATTTTTATAACAAATTCAAAAACTATATCAAAAAAAGACACTTGACTTAATTAAGCCTAAATTAGATCTTCACAAAATTTATAAAAAACAAATAAAAAATGATTAAAATCTTATATAAAATATTATTAATAAATATTTCAAAAATATTTTATAAAATAAAAACTTTAATCTAGATTAATTTTTAAATTAATATAAGAAATATTTTATCAAATCAATTAATCAAGAAATATATAATAAAGTTATTTAATATAATAAATCTATAAATATCTGATAAAAATCTCTATTTTTTTTTTGAAAAATTAAATAATAATCTCTCAAACTATTTTAAAAAACTATAAATATTTTGATAATAAAAACATCTTTTATTAATAGTCAAAATAAATATTATCAATATTGATTTTTCAATAATTAAGGATTTAGACTTTTGGCTAAAGAATATTAATAATTAGACTAAAACATATATCTGAAGTCACATGATATCTGTCAATTCTGAAGCTCCAAAGTAATGTGAAATCTGAAACTTATAGAAATTATTAATTTAACATGATTTTACTAATTAACATATGTTACCAATTAGTGATTGATACAAAGGAGTTTTTTTTTTTTTTTTTTTTTTTTTTTGTAAGTAAACATCATTTCTTTATTTGATTTGTATATAGCAAGATATACATCGTGAAA